ATATATATATATATATATATATATATATTTCTTTTTATTTTTCATTACATCTCATTTATTATAATTATATTTTTTACCCTTTTATTTCTATTTTTTTCCTTTTCACCTCAGCTCAAAATAAGATGTACTTGTATTATTATTTGATTCAAAATATGAGGAGTGTGCATGTTAGTAATAATATATTGGACACTATCTTTTTTATTCTTTACTTTTCTTTCTCGTTAGTTAAAATTTACCGAGTATCACTAATTTAAAATTAAGCATAAACTCATATTTAATAAAAGTCACATAAAAACCCATCAAATAAAAAAGATTTTATGAAAGAATAAAAGTTAAAAATGGTGTTCATAACATATTCCCTTAAAATATTAAGGAGTACTTTAATAAGTTGTTGTTCCAGTGCGTAGCTAGTCCTACTGTCATGTGGGTTTGCCGTAAATTAAGATAGAGCCCATTGTTGTGATTGACACCAACTGAAATTAATTTCATGTAGTACCATATTATAGAATCAACTATATTGAATTAATTGATACTCGACTCAATTTTTTAAAATAAGATTTTAAAATGAAAAGAATATAGTAAAAAGAAGTATTCTACTAAAAGGGATGAATTAAGTGTTGATTACTGTATTCAAGTCATGCTTTGCAAGCTCTGACACCAAGTTGTGGGTCACTAATAGTATACGGAGTTTTTCAACTTTTCCATTCACTCTCTTCATTAGGCATGCCAACCGCGTGGGTCGAGCGCGGGTCGGGAGCTCCCACAAATTTAAAATTATTATTGCCTCCACCTTTAATACTTGTTAAAATAAAATTTGGGTACCTGTTCGGTATGCCTAAAAGTCCCACATCACTTAGAAGTCGAGGCTAAGGGTAGTTTATAAACACTCTTCCTCCTTAACCCATAGAGGCGCCTTTTCAAGGACAAAATCGTGACGGCCCAACTAGCGCCAAAGTGGACAATACCTCGGATGCGGTGACCCTAACGATGACAGCAGACTTACGGTAGGAACAGTACCTATTTTCGTCTGGTAGGATTCGAGTTTTCCTGGCCCGCTCCCACTCTCTTCGTATTTTTTTTTCATTTTTTTTTAAATAAATATGAACAAATTTAAAAAAATGAAAGAAATGTAAAACAATACAAAATTTTACATATAAATATTTTGAATTTTGATATATATATATAAATAATTTTTAATTATATTATTAAGCAGGGTAGATTAATGGTTCTAACATTGATTAATAAATTTTATTAGGGTTCTTGTCTAAATCAGTTTTAGAAGTGATTTTCAACAACAATTAATTCCAAAAGTTCAATTTATGGGTGGGTAAGGCAAAATAAAAATTAAGAAAGTAAAAAGAATAATTAACTGAATAACGTTAATGAATAATTTAAAAATAATAGATGGAGTCACATCAATTCCTATAACACTAATAAATAAATCGCTCATAACTAATCTATGATGTAAGAAGAGTGAAAGATGGAGGCTAAGGGCGATGCCGTGATTAAAACTTTCGCTTTTCTCATTCTCTTTCAAAAATGCCAATGTGTCTCTCCGTAAATAATGAAAGAGTTTCTCTTTACGAGTCTTGTGTATATGTCTTTAATATTATGCCTGTCAACATCATTCACATAAGTGAACAAAAAGCCCGATGGAAAAATGTGTTATAGTTTATGAATCATTGAGCGAATCAATCATAAATTCAGATAATGGTGCATTATAATTGAAATATTTTCTTTAACTTTTCCAGCTATTTTTTTAACTTGCCTTTTTAATTATACAATCAATATATAAATGATCGATTATATTTTAGCTTCTTAAGGATCTCTTTCCTAAACTAGAAAAAAGCACACACAAGGAGCGAAAGTTAGAGGCACAAAAAGAAATTTGATTATGAACACTACATGATTCAAACTACAATAAAGAAAATCTTACACAAACACAGTGCATAACAACTAGCTAGCATCGGGCACATGGCATGAATGTGCCTGTAACATCTTTATTGGTGGGGTCTAATCACACCTTTTCAAGTGTACACTAGTCAACCCTAATTCATTTAGATTGAGCTAACCATACCCTCCACCGATGAATCTTGGGAGGCCACAGTAGCAATATCAAGTTCAACAGATTTCTTGTTAACAAAATTGCAATGTTTTCTGATCTCTCCTTTCTTTCCAGTGAGCACATCAATTTTACTCATTTTAATCATTGAAGCCTCAAAGCTGTCAAAGAAAGCCTTTTGGTCACTGCTGAACTTGTTGACAATGCTAATGGTATCAGCACCAGTTGTGGAAAATAGCTCTTGGTCACTCTGAAGCAAACCCTTCTTAACCTGAAGATTGGAGAAGTAGTTCTTGTCCAATGTATCAGGAGTAGTTGGGTCAAAATTGGCAAGGTTGTTAGGTCCACCATTGGGGCATATTTTTTTCAATTGTTGCAAGTAAGTTGTGTCAAGAGTTGGATCGGGTTTTCCTGTACCACTGAAGTTGTACAATCGATCAGTAAAGAAAGCACAATGAGATCTTCCAATTGTATGAGCACCTGAAATTGAATCATATGCTAATTAATTCATCATATATGTGTGGTCTTTTATATCTTTACCCTAAAAATCAAGAAATTTTCCATTTATTATTATTATTATTATTTGCAACATATAGGATAATTTGAATTTGGGAATATTTGTTACCTGAGAGTGCAACTAGATCAGTAGTGTCAAGGCCTTGAACAGCAAAAGCAGCTTTAAGTCGAGTGAGATTGAAGAATGGAGCTGGAAGATTTTCATTTGCAAGGGTTCTGTTTGCTGTTAAACTATCCCTTCTTCCAAGGGGTACTTTCCAATCAGGACCACCAGCCTGTGGATACATATATAATTGTATCATTTGAAGTCTAGTAAATTAAAAATTGCTCTAAATTAAACATGATTAATGTCTAATAATATAGTATAGATTTTGACCTCATAGAGTTTTGAATTGATATCATTTGTAATAATATATATTTTTTCTTAGAAACTTTCATTTAACCACGTACATACGTTACATGCATCATTTGTAATTGATTGCAACCTTTTGGTTAATATATATTGTGATAATGTGATTTTATAGTTGGTATAACTTATAAGCAAAATAAATTGGATATAGCATTTATACCAGAACAGAAGAAATTTCTGCTGCCAGGGCAAGAATATCAGCACAAGAAACCACTCCGGGGCAAGCATTTTCCACTGCTGTCTTGATATCGTTCACAACATCCAAACCTCTTATCGAGTTATTGTTTGGCAAAGCTTGTTGCTCACTCACTATCGTCGCAGTGTTGTTCAACAAAATCGATGCGTCACAGCCCTGGATATGCCACAAGCATCAGCAACATAATTTATAAGATTTGTGAGTAAAAGTAATATTATTCTTAGAGTTCTAAATTTTAGACAACGGCACAATATAATCACATGATGGACACTTTTCATTAATTTCTACACTTCTTTTTCTTTTATCTTTATCTCTTCAGATGTGTACCAGTAAAGTAGCAATACATGAAACATTTTTTAATTGCTGAGAATCATAGAGAAAAGGAGGTTATAATGAGATGAGATTGAGGGTCGCTAGCTGGTGCTCGGGAACATAGCCACCATTATTATTCCCTCAATAAATTAGACCCTTCAATACCTATGGTTGAGAATGAAAGTGGTCCCATTATTTATGGATTTAGGAGTGGTGAGTGGAAGCTGTCAAAAGACATGTCATTTATGGTGAAGGAAATGGTATTTTCTCATCTTAAAGTGTATGCTTTTCAGTTTTCACATATCTTGCTAAAAGAAATGTCGTTATAGTTAAAGTAAGGTGCATACTACGTACGAGTGAGACCAAAAGGATTATGTTATTATGTAAATGTCTGTCGTTTAAACTTTAAATTGCTTTTCCTACGGATACACAAATAAACGACATATATTTTATGACTGCATAAAGAAAAAGAGTAAGTAATAACATATATTATAATTGAAAAAACGTGTGAAAAAGTTAAAATTATTATGATTACCGGGTTAAATCTTATAAAAATAATAAAGAAATACTTAAATTTCAACAGGTTTAATTGATTTTTTTACTTCTTATATTACAATGAAATTTTCCTTTTAGTTACTATAATTAATGTATTTTATTTTCTATATATAAAATTTTATTTCTATTAAATCTACATAATTTCATAAATTTTACTTTTTTAATTTTATAATAATTGTACCAAAAATTAAAATATAATATATATATATATATAAAGACTAAAATAAAACGTTTTTAACTATGAAAATTAAAAAATAAAATTTATAAAATTATAAAGAGAAATACAATAATATAAGATAACAACTTCATCTACTGTCACCACTTTGCCATAAATAACAAGTATCATATTTAGAAAGACCATTACCTAGAACATATAAGCTAAATCCTTTAATATTAAAGTAGTTTTTTTTATATATATATTTAATAGGAATTAAGGTATATAACCATTTTTTTACCATAATAAAGATAGAGTGATATCTTTAGCAGTGATTTCACGTCGAGATTAAAGTTCAAAATATCAACTCTTAATTAAAATATACAAATTTCAAACTACTTATGGTAACAGTTTTGTAAAGAAGGGGTTTTGAAGCAAGGAAGCATAAGAAGAGAAAAAAGAAATAATGGTGATCGAGGAAACAAAAGTCTGAGTGATGATGGATTAAGTTAAAAGCTTACGCACTTGAACAAAGCAGTCATGAAAGTGAAGTCTAACGAGACTAGCAAGCATGCGGGGATCTTTCTTTGAGACGGTTCTGACGACTTCGCGAACAATGGAATGAACCTTTGGACAAGTGTTTCTGTAAAAGGAAGGGTCAAGTTGTGCATCTAAGGAGAGTGGTAGCACTCCAACCGCAACCACTACACAGCACAGAGCTGTCACTGTGACATGAAAGGACCTCATTCTTTTCTGTTTTCTTCTTCTCTTAGACTCTGCTTTTGATGCTGTTGCAAACTAGGCAGAAAATGAGCCTTTATTTATAGAGACAAATGACCATCATGGATATTCGATATTGCTACCGTCGGCTACCATCATTTTCAAAACAAAAGAAGGAAGATTCATGATCATTAATACAATTTTTTTATGTAAATTTTATATAAAAATTTGCAATAAATATTGTTTCTACAAAATTTTATCTTAAAATAATATCTTTATAAATAACATATTTTTCTAAATTTTAAAATTTATAAAAAAAATTATAAAATTTCTTGCGAAAAAAATTTATAAAAAAATAAAAAAAAATAATTACAGAAAGTTTATTACGTAAAAGGTAATTTTTAGGTAAATTTTATTAATAATTCTTTAATTGTTAAATGTTCACAATGAATATACTATTTTTTAAAGTCTTAAATTATAGATTATAGGTCTAACACCCAACCACACAAAATTAACTTGTAAGATAAGTATTGTCTTAATTTATATACTATTTTATTATTTTATTTTCAATCGATGTGGAACTTGAATTTTTTTATAAATATTAATTAGATGATGTTTTTAGAAAGAGAATTAATTTAATATATATTTAACAACAAAATTATATTATTATAAATTACTTTAACTCTTAAAATATTTAATATTTTAAAAAAAACTATTTATTTATTAATTAATTTTATTTTAAAAACTATTATTAAATTAAACTCATCATCATTAATTTATATATTTAATTAAAATAAATATTTCATGTATTAAT